ATCCTGTTTGGATGATACAGCTTGACATTCTTCATAAAAAAGTATTAATCGATGTACGTCGAAAAGTTATTAATTTAAGAGACATTTATAAGCTCTTACTTTACGTGGCTGATTAATAATATAGAAAAAAAAAATTGTTTCTTTGATAGAAAAGAAAAAATAATTTGTTTATAATTTTTTAATTTATATAATTTTTATGAATCATTTGCAATTTGAATTATTTCATTTTCTTTTTTTTTTTTCAAATAAAATGTATTTGTTTATAACAAATTGTTTATAACAAATTGTTAATTAATTATTAACAATACGTTGAAAAATTAGAGAAGAATTTGCCCTTTAAAATGATACCTGAATCAAGTCTCTACGATTTATAGTTCCTGAGATATTCTCATACGATTGATAAAAGTTATTATTAATAATATAAAAAAATAATTTGTTTATTAATTTACGTAATTTTTATGAATCATTTGCAATTTGAATTATTTTATTTTCTTTTTTTTTTTCAAATAAAATATATTTGTTTATAACAAATTGTTTATAACAAATTGTTTATAACAAATTGTTAATTGATTATTAACAATACGTTGAAAAATTAAAGAAAAATTTGCCCTTTAAAATGATACCTGATTTAAGTCTCTACGATTTATAGTTCCTGAGATAGTCTCATACAATTGATAAAAGTTATTATTAATAATATAAAAAAATAATTTGTTTATTAATTTTTGTGATTTTTATAAGTCATTTGCAATCTGAATTTTTTTTCTTTTTCTTTTTTTTCTCTTTTTTCCGACAAAATCGGATGATTTCAGTGTGTAAGAATTTGTTTATAACAAATTGTTTATAACAAATTGTTAATTAATTAATAATAATACGTTGAAAAGATAGAGCAAAGTTTTTCCTTTAAAATGGTAGTTGATTCATGTATCTGTGATTATTAGTTATGGAGATATTCCCATGTAAATGAAAGAAGTTTACGTTGTCCCACTGACCTATATAATTTCATTCAAATTCATACGGTGACACACTGACCTACATAAATTCCAAGAATTTACTATTACTATTACTATTACTACGAACAGCTGTACTATACGAAATATGAATGAAAATCTTTCAAAGGCGATATCTCCGTAACGAAAAATCGTAGAGACTTCATTCAAAGACCATTTTCAAATATAATTTATTCTTTATTTATTTAAATATTGCAACAATATTGTTATAATAAAATCGACTTTGTTAATAATTTTTTTCCAATATAAATTCTTACTTTTCTATCGTATACATAATTACAATGAAAAATTAAAAGTTTTTTTTCGTAAATGTGCTTTTTTTTTTTTTTTATTTAAAATAAGGAATAAAATATCGATTCTTATAGTCGCTGATGTAAGAAGAAATTTAAATGATTAACAATTCGAAATACAACATTTCTCTCGTGATAAGAGGACATAACTGTGAAATATATTTTCAACTAATAATTTTACGACAAACACAGGGGAGGGGGTTAATATATTTTTTCTTTTCTTTTTCTTTTTTTTTTTTTTTTTAAATATAGAATGTGAAGTTGCATCGAATGTCGACTCGAAAAAAAAAAAATTACTACCGCCATATTACATTTTCCTTCCCCGCATCTATCCCCACCACTTTTTATCGTACGATATTTGTAAACAAAATTTTTACATATCTCTAAAGAGAACGTTGACATTGAAGTTGATCAAAGTTATTTCTCTCTCTCTCTCTCAAAAAAGAAAAGATGACGATGAACATGAACATTCGAATAGTTTATTCTAGTGAGTTTACGAACAAACATCGTTACTTTTACAAGGACGTCCCTTCAACAATCCCACACCGATAAGAAACTTTATTTCTAGAAACATTAACAATATCCAACGCTCACGTGACAATGATTCATGTTGGTTACTACGGACAATTAACTAGAAGACGAAAACAAAAAACATCGAGATAAAACGAGCTTGAACTATTGGACAAGTTTAACAAACGATTCACGTTCCTGATACTACTATCAATTATTATTATTATTATCATCATCGTCATCATTATTATCATCAATATTATTATTATTATCATTATTATTATTATTATTATTATTACTATATATATTTTCGTCTACAATGTCTGTCCATAATTTATGATTATATTATAATAATATAATCATAAATCATATGTTATTATTAAATGTTCAACACTTTTCTAACTATACCGAAAAATTTTTCAAACGATACGATCTTTTATATCTAAATTAATAAATTCATCCGATTGCTTTTTTTTTTATTTCTTATCATTATTATTATTATTATTATTATTATTATTATTATTATTATTATTATTATTATTGATAAAAACTTACCTGATACAATATGTCGAGGGAAATGGGATAAATCATGTGTTCGACGATAACTCTCAAAACTGTGTTCGGTCCACCCTGCGTTTCAGCTTGCGAGGAAACTTGATTTTGTCCTGGTATAGCAACTTGATTGTTCGAATTCTGTAACATAAGAAAAAAAGAAATTAATAAAATTTTTTTTCTCTTTTTACTTTATCTCTCTCTTCCGTTGTTATTTTTATTTTCCATAAAGAATTAATATCGTGTCGGTGTCCTAATGAACTTAATAAAATAAAGAGAAAGATTAAGAGAAAGAGAGAAAGAGAGAGAGAGAGAGAGAGAGAGAAAAGATAATCTATGATTAAACATTCATTAAAACATTTTAATAATTTTTTTTTTACAACATTAACTTAATATTTATAACATTACGATAGAATTTTGCGTACACGATTTATTTCCACAAATAATTTGAATTTTATATAAATGTATTTGATCAAACAATTTTCTAAATTTTCATTTTTACAAAATTTTTATTTTTCCATCTCTCTCTCTCTCTCTCTTTCTCTCTCTCTCTCTCTCTTTCGCTTTCATTCTCTTTCTCTATCTCTTAAACATTTTTTTCGTCTTAACTAAAATAAGAAGCCCAGTTTGTCGTTTTCATCAGCTGTGTCCCTAGAATTAAACCAGGAAAGCAGACGAGACATTAGCATAAAGGATATGGCTGGTTTTAGTAAGCAAAAAGCTTAAAAAGAAAACTCGATGCTTCGAAATTTCGATGTAAATTAAAACGAATTTTACTTCTTCCTTTCTCTCTCCTCCACGCTCTTTCCCACACTCCATTCCTCCCTGGCCCCTCTCTCTCATCATTTTTCTCAAATACGTAGTATAAAATTCCTAACGATTTTTCATTTAACAGAACAAAAGCGAATGTTCATTTGCGTTCACGTTCGAGAAAGAAAGAGAAAGAAAGAAAGAAAGAGGAACAGAGAGAGACAGAGAGAGAGAGAGAGAGAGAGATATTGTTAATGAAAATGCATTTAAAATATATATATATATATATATATATATATAAAATGTAATTCATTGAAAAAGCGAGAACAAAGAGATTCGGAATGGGTACGGCCTGGTTGAAGAAGGGAAGGGGAGGGGGAGGGGGGTTGTGCTTTGGACGAGTCAAAAGGACTGGCATGAAATAATTTCGTGCAATCAAAAGAGATCGGCGGTATCGATAAAAGCACCTCTAACAATGGCGGTTCGGTCGATTATTTAAAAACGAGCAACAACTCTCATTGGTTAGAGCTGCGATTGTGTTCATTGCCAAAAACTGGAAGGTGATTTTAAACTGAATTACCCGATTAAGTTAACCACACACATGTATCCACCACCCATGGAATGTATCATAGTGCGCGAATGTAACTATTACTAAAAACAATCCCCCACCCATACATCATCCCCCACATCCTCTTTCCTCATCCCTTCTTTATCCTTCAGTCCTATCACCCTTCTTCTTCAACATACCACCCTCCTCCTCCCCTCCAACCCCCCTTCCTTTCCTCTTTTTTTTTCATAATAGATACTATCACCTAATCAATTTTTACTATGTACGTATATGTACGTTATAACGCGTATAATATATACATAGGTGGTATGTATGTATACATGTATATAAATATATATATATATATATGTATTTATGTATATAATGCGTGTGTGCTCTCGTTTATACGTTTTACTTCACGAAAAGGGTCAGCAAGAACGTTTAATGGTATTGTTTTCCCAGGCGTGGCCAATTTGGCTTTCTGAATTTTTAATCCGACAAACGAGCGGCGAACAACCGTCGAAAGATCGAACGGAAGCTCTGCTGCTGTTGCTGTTGCTGCTGCTGCTGCTGAATCGGGCAAGCTCGATTAATATTGAAATTCAATCGGTCACTTCATCGATCTCACCCTTACCCTCTTCCTCCCGCCCTTTCTACATCCCTATCACTCTTCTTTCTCTAACATATATATATAATATCGATGAACGAACCGTACGGACAAATTCGTAGCTTCAAACGGAAATGATTTCAGTCGCTTATCATTCGAATCTTTTTTTTTTTTTTTTCTTTTTTTTTAGATTTTTCTTTTTTCGCTCTTTTCTCTTTTCGACCATACACATTTAATTCATATCGAACTACGTATCCCTTTTTCTTTTTTGTACATTGTCAAATATCGAACAAATCCTTTTCTTCTCCTTTTTTCTCTCTTTTCGTTAGTAATTAAAGAAACGATATATATATATATATATATATATATATATATATATATATTAATATATATAGAATTGTTTGCGATCGTTGTTTATCGTTCAAGTTTTTTCTTCTTCCTCTTCTTGTTTGTCCTTTTTTTTCCTTATATAATACACGGATTTATTCTTTCCTATGTTCCTTTTTTATTTTGCTTTTATTTAATTTTTTTCTTCTTTTTTTTTTTGCATTTCAAACTTGTGTATTTTCTCGGAAGCGTAAAGTGTCAAATTATAAGCGCGCTTTTTCTTTTGTTCTCTCTCTCTCTCTCTCACTCTTTCTCTTTTTTTTTACTTTCCTTTTTTTTTGCTTTTCTTTTATTAGAAATTAACGAATCAATTTATCAATAATATCGTTAGAAATGTTTTCTCTCGGTACGGAGCTTATTGGTTATCGGATACTTGTAATATTCTTCGGTAAAAGGTAGAATGATATATCGTTGAGCTAAACGAGATAAATTGAAACGAACTTTCGTCTCGGGTTATTCCATCATATAAATACAACCACCCTCCTTCTACCCTCACTTTCTATCCCTCTCTTTCTCTCTGTCTCTCTCCCATTCCCAGTCACCCATCCACCCAACCCTCTATGTCGCGATAAACGATTATTTACAACGAATACTCTGTGGCTTGGAGAAGAGAGAGACACCTCTCTCTCTCTCTCTCTCTCTATCTATCTCTCTCTCTCTCATTTTCTATCTCTTTCTCATTTTCTTCACTAGATCGAGATACACTCGAAGGATTTGTATCTTCAATCGAGTATAACTTGATTAATCGAAAGATGAAACTAAAATTCATTTTAAAAATTTATCGTAAAAGAAAATAAGAAAATAAGATGAACTAATCCTGAATATTTTTCTATCTCGTTGAATTCATTGAGAAATAAACGAGAAGACGTATATTTTTCTTTTTTTTTTTTTGACGGATATTATTGACAGATAATAAATAAACAGTAGCAATTTGTAAAATTGAAAAATTGTACGAACGACAATGAGAACGTAAAGAAGGAGAAAATACGATAAAGATTTAAGTTGAATGAAAAGCAACGAGGAAAAAAATAATATCAATTGAATATTTAAATCTAATGAGATTATTCATTTGATATATCTTACTTTTAGATATGTCTATAACGTTATACGAGTATTTTTTTTATTTTTTTTTTATTTTTTTTATTTTTTTTTTTTATTTAAAGACAATTATTACGCACTATGCGTAATAATTATTCTCTCCGTTAAATCTTAATTTCATTGTGATGTTCTGGATTAAAAAAAGAAAAAGAAAAAAAAAAAAAGGGCGAATAAAGAAAAAAAGAAGAAACGTTCCTAAAGAAGATTTGTCTAATAATAGTCGATGTAAAAAAAAAAAAAAAAAGGAAGAAAAAAGTCCATATTGATCGAACTATCGCCGAGAATAAAAAAAAAAAAAAAAAAAAAAAAAACAAGCAAGAAGTATAAAATATATAACAACAATATATAGTAACAAAGCTTTTACACACATTATTCTTCTTCCCGTTCGTTCGAATAGCTTACTAATAATTTTACAGGTGGGTTTAACGTGGCCTATAGCCATAATGTTTTCACAATGTAGATTGCTAGGCTTATACGAGATCCTTGCTTGTTTTACACGCTTGAAAAGAGAGAATGAAAGAGACTGAGAGAGACAGAGAGAGAGAAAGAGAGAGAAAGAGATATACAAAATTTGTACGTGCAATGCATATATATATATATATATATATATATATATATACACATATATGTATATGAAAATTGTATGTATGTGCAAAAGAAAAAGAGAGAATAAGAGAGAGAGAGAGAGAGAGAGAGGGAGAGAGAGATTAATTTAGCACGATTTGCAAGTCTCTTTTTCAAGCACGAATTCAACTTCGTCTCTTCCTCTCCCACCCTCCTCCTAATTCTATCACTTTCTCTCTCTCTCTCTCTCTCGATCGAACATCAAGCGACGATTTAATTTCCTGAACCTGCTCGAATCAGGATGAAAGTTAATGCGCGTTAATTAATTGGTAGAAAGCGACGAGCCGAATCGTTGACGCCTTTTTCTTTATTTCTTTCTTTCTTTCTTCATTCAAACGGAAGGAGAAAGAGAGAGAGAGAGAGAGAGAGAGAGAGAGAGAGAGAGAGAGAGAAGGAGAAAGAGAGAGGATCGAAATTTTCCACTCTCGCTTTAGTCAAAGATTAATTTCGAAAAGTTGAAAGGGTGCTTACGATTCGATCTTTCCACTCCGCCCTCCCCCCCTCACTCCATTTTCTTTCTCATCTCATTCTCTTCTCTCTTCTCTTCCCTTATCTCTCATCCTCTTCTCTTCATTCTTTACTTCTCGACGAATTTCTTGTGGCAATTAGCACGCTATAAATTCTTACGCGTGCCAGCCATAAATTCGTGGTTGGCATTCACCTTTTCTTCTTTCGTAAGAGCAAGAAAGAAGGAGGGGAAAGAAAAAACAAAAAAAAAAGAACAAAGAAAGAGAAACAGAAAAAGAGAAAAGGGGAAGAAGAAATGAGGAGACGTAGGGGTGGTGGGACAAGAGAGAGGAAGGAAGAGAGAGAGAGAGAGAGAGAGAGAGAGACTGATAGGGAGAGAAGAAAACATAAAATAAGGGAAGATAACTCTCGTTCTTCGTCGATTTCGTTTGTCCAAGCCATTCGTTTTCTTTTCGAGGGTAGACGGCGAAGAAAATCGAAAGATTCTTCGAGTTCTTTTGGTCACGTTCAAAGAATACGAATCGTTTTCAACATAGAGAATATACCATCCTATTCCTACCTCCAACTATCCACTTCTCTACATCTACTCTGCTATTACTACTACTACTACTACTACTACTACCTCTACTACATTTCAACCCTCTCTATATACTAGCCCTT